ATGTGATTGATACAGACACCCTTCAGTGATAGGACACTTAATTTTTTTTGCAGGATGTGTGGATATGAGTTATGTATAAGGCAGTAGTGGATGGACAGCAGTGGAATTTTGTGGTGGGTCAATTCTCTAGTCCACTGATACAGTTGTAAGATTTTTCTGGGCTCCATTTAAAGACTGCTTATATTCCCCAAGTGCTTTTCCACTGAGGCAAAGCTACTATGCTGTGTTTTTTTGGATTCCAGAGTCAGCTTGCTGTACTGAAAGTTTTATTTTCTCCCTTGCGATATTTGTCTCCTTTGCTACTCTGTCAGCTATTGAGATGGAAACATTTTCAGTGGAGTCAGAGACTCTCAGAAGGAATATGATTCACCTCATTAAAATCGGAGAGTGTCCGAGAACTTTCCATGAGGTCTAGTCAAAATAGCATCTGAGCCTGTTAACTTTTGGGGGGAGTTAGTTGTTCACACTGCCAGGAAGAGAGTTGTAAGGCTCTTTTTTCCTTCTTTTCAAAGTTAAATTAATGAGAGCTTGAAAAGAGTCCTTAATAATGAAAAAAACCCATTTCCTACTTCAGATTAGTGGTCAGTTTGCATTCTTTGTTATGTGAAAGAAATCTTTCATTTATTGATTTGGAATTAGCCTAGTGCTATATGAATAGTGCTGATCATGCTTAAATGGATTGTGGTACCAGGTTCTGCCATCTGTCTACAGTACTCAGAGGCTATTTGGGCACAAAGTCAAAACGGGGTTCAGGACGGTGGGGACCATTTTGCCCTTAGGCAGCGGGTCCCCTGGTTTGCACCAAGGAGGTGGAGGCAACGCTGGTCTCCTCCAGCCCAGCCGGAAGCAAGAATGTTGGGAACTAGGACAGAAAGGAAAGAGGAAAAACAGATGTAGCAGTCGCCCTGAGCTCACCATGGAGCGTACATGACATGCTCTTTCCCCTTCATCTGAAGGAAAGAAGGCTGCAGTAATTATGGAGTGTTTTAATTTACTGTGCGTATGGTAGGGATACCTCAAACCATGAATGAGAGGTTGGAAGTTTTCTGTTCTGTCTTTATGAATGTTAGTCCACGCTTGACCATCTTTCTGTTCTTTATTCTTCACTGAGAGTAGCTTTTGAAGCAGAAAAGCTTTGGTGAATGTCTTTAGTATTTCCAATATAGTGACATTAGTGGTGAACGATGTATTCTGATTATTTCATGTGCTCCCATTGGTCACTGAGAGTATAACTCAGATTGACTAGATGCCTGTCTCCTTTCTTTTTTGTGGTTCTAATTTATCATAAAACATCTGCTACCCTCTCATATGGAGGGGGGAATTCATCTTAGGTTTTGTAAAGAATTGCTTTTTATATTTCTAAACTGACAAAATGTGATTAAGAGTGGGAAGGGGCACTGGCCAGGTGGCTCACTTGGTTGGAGTGTCGTCCCATAGGCCAGAAGATTGTGGGTTAGATCCCCTGGTTAGAGCACATACCTGGGTCATGGGTTCGATCCCTGGTTGGGGCATATTTGGGAGGCAACTGATGGATGTTTTGTTCTCACATCGGTATTTCTCTCTCTCTCTAAAATCAGTAAAGCACATCCTTGGGCTTAAAGGGTTAAAAAAGAAAGTGGGAAGATTTGGGCCAGTGCCCAGAGAGCAATGAGCCATATTTTTCTTTCTCCCCTCGCTCCCTCTTCCCATCTCGCATCCTCCCATGTCCCCATTTCCTTTTTTCCTCTCTCTCCCTCACTTTCTCCCTCTCTCCCCTTCCCCTTCTCTCTCACTTATGGACATCACCAGCTATAGGTGGAATGAAGGGAGGGTGCTAGTGCATTTCACCCAGGGTTGGGCAGGGCCACTAGATCTGCAGAATTTCTTTTCCTTATCATTTTATGAGTTTAAGAAAAAGAGCAAATCTCACTGCCATCCCTTAGTTAAATCACTTTATGGATTACCATGTAACTGCCTTGATTTAGATATTTTCGGTGAGAAAACCACTGTTTCAAGTTTGTTCAGGTTCCGTGACTCCTTCATTTTGGCTGTGTTCCAGCCAATCAGAGCCATCTGGGGAACTTCGTAGGACCGCCCACTGAGTGCCGGGCTGGGAGAGCCTCGGGCTGTAGTGCAGGCGGATGAAACTGACCAGTGAAAGCTCTGTGCCAGGAAAGACTGGAGGGAGCCAAAGACTTCGAGATCTGTGAATCCTTTCTGTGGAAGTGGCTACTCTCTGTCCGTGTTTTGGACTAACCCTCATGGTGAGGCCGGACCCACAAGTCAAGAAGAAGCCATACTTTGGTCTTCTTTCACTTTTACCGTTGTTCTTCCCTTAATGTATTCTTGACTCTGAATTTTGCTGTGTGTCATTTGTATATTTATTTAAAGTACTAAGGCACTTTGACTTTTCTTAAGCTTTTATGCAGAATTTATTTCTGCTCAAGACTGCATGGCTGCCCAGGTGATCAGGCATATGCTTAGTGGGGCGTTTCAGTGGGAGAGGATGGTTTACTCAGTAAATGGAGTCCATATAACTGGTTGTTCACCTGCAGATGGACCTAGACTCTCTATCTCACTCCATAGTCAAGAGTAACTTACAAATGTATGAAGACATAAATGTAAAATGTAAAACTACAAAAATAATAGGAAAAATAGGTGAATATGTTTAGAACCGTGAATAGACACTTCTCCAAAGAGGACATACGGATGGCTAGTAGACATGTGAAAAGATGTTCAACATCACTAATCATCAGAGAAATGCAAATTAAAACCACAATGAGATACCATCACACTTGTCAGAATGGCCACCATCAATAAATCAACAAACAACAGGTGCTGGTGAGGATGTGGGGGAAGGTAAACCTGTTTGCACTATCGGTGGGACTGGTGCAGCCTAGAGATAACTCAGAAAATTAAAAATAGATCTGCTTTTAACCCAGCAGTCCCACTTCTGGGAATATATCCAAAGGAACCCAGAACACTAATCCAAAAGAACATAAACACCCCTATGTTCTTTGCAGTGTTATTTACAACCGCCAAGTTATGGAAGCAGCCCAAGTGTCCATCAGTAGATGAGTTGATAAAACAACTATTGGACATTTACACAATGGAATACTACCTGGCTGTGAAAAAGAAGAATTTACCCTTTGCAACAGCATGGATGAACTCAGAGAACATTATGCTAAGTGAAATAAGCCAGTCAGAAAAGACAAATACCATATCATTTCACTCATATGTGGAATCTAATGAACAGACTGAACTAAGAAGCAAAACAGAGACAGACTCATAGATGGAGAGCAGGATGACAGCTAAGGTGACAGTTAGGGAGTGGAGGGATCAGGCAATAAGGACAAAGGACTCACGGACATGGACCACAGTGTCATGATTACCTGGAGGAAAGGGAGTATAAGGGGGATAAATGGTAATGGAGATAAATACAATAAAAAATAAAATGTATAATGAGTGAATATATATTTCAGAAGCAGTAAATTGATACAGAATTGTTGCATTTGTACAAAATTTTGTAAGAAATTAAAGCAAAAAAAATTACATTAAAAAGCTTGCAAAGCTATGAACGGGGTTTTATTTGTAACCCTAAAACTGAGTATACAGAATGAGAAGCTGTGTGGTTACATCTATGGCAGCTGACTGCACTTGGACTCCTGCGACAGCCCGCTGACTCAGGTTTGTACCCGTGTTCTACCCTGAGACATCTTCGTTGTTTAGTAGTCGCTTTATTGAAGAAGCTCCATAAACATTAGCAGTCATGCAACTCCTCCCCTCATTCTCTAACCCCTATCCTTAGGCAACAACTAATCTACATATTTACTTACTCAGGACATTTTATGTAAATGGAATCACAATATGAGGGTTTTTTTGACTGACTTACTTTTACTTGGCATAATGTTTTCTTTTTTTTTTTTGGCATAATGTTTTCAAGGTTCATCTATGTTGTATCAGTACTTCATTACTTTTTATTGCCCAATAATATGCCATTGTGTGTGTGTATCACATTTTATTTATATTCTATCAGTTGATGGATATTGACTTGTTCCAGCTTTTAGGCTATTATAAATAATGCTGTGAGGGACATTTGTGCTCAGGTTTTTGTGTGGATGTATGTTTTTGTTTCTCTTGGGTATATACTTAGAAGTGGAATTGTTGGGTCATGGAGTAAAGTCTGCATTTTGAAAAACTGCCAACTATTTTCCAAAGTTGTTCTATCATTTTATATTCTTACTAGCAGAGTATTAGAGCCTGAGGTATTCTTTAAAAATGAAAATATAGCCCTAGCTAGTGTGGATCAGTGGATTGAGTGCTGGCCTGTGAACCAGAGTTGCCAGTTCAATTCCCAGTTAGGGCACATGCCTGGGTTGTGGGTCCCCAGTAGGCGGCACACAAGAGCAACCACCCAGTGATGTATCTCTAACCTCCCTCCCTTCCCCTCTCTTTAAAAATCAGTAAATAAAATCTTTTAAAAAATGAAGATCTGTTTATGAGTGCCTGGCTCATAGGGTTAGGCACTCATAAATAGGCACTCGGGTGGTGACTAAATGAAATAGAACATAAACAGCAGTTAAAACAGTTCCTAGCACACAGGAAGCAGTCAGTAAGTTTTGGTTATTTTATTATTATGGATATAGTGGGTACTCCATGTATATAACAAGTTCAGAATCAGTGTAGTGTTTCATTTTTTTTATTAGGGCAAAATACACATAGCATAAAATGTACCATCCTATATTTTTTAAAAGAGCTTTACTTATTTTTTATTATTCATTTAATCTTCACTTGATGATAGGATTATTGATGAGACAGAGAAAGGCATGTGAGAGAGAAACATTGATCGATTGCTTCCCCTAAGCACCCCAACTGGCGATTGAACCCACAACCTACGTATGTGCCCTGACTAGGGATCAAACCTGCAACGTTTTGGTGTACGGGACAATACTCCAACCAACTGAGCTACCCAGCCAGGGTAATTTGCTAAATTGTTTTTGTTTTGTTGTTGTTGTTGTTGTAATTATTTGACTCTGCAAAAATCAGAAGGCACGAATGAGCAGCCACCCCACCCCCATGGCGCTCTGACTGAAGACGAGTTAGCTTAAATGTGTGATGGACCACATTCCCCGACTAAGGCTCCAAGCAGTGAGAGGAACTGCCATGGACAGTTTTCCTGTTTCTTAGTGTGAAATTTTAAATCACTGTTTTGCTGCTTTTCTTTTATGCTAATAAGCATTTCATATTAAAATTTCCTTTTAAGCATCACTTTATATTCCAACAAATTTTAATTGGATGTGCTTTTATTTTTATTCATTTCATGATACTTCATAATAATTTCTCTTATGGTTTTTTAACTTTGATCCATGGGTTATTTAGAAGTGTGTAGTTTAATATTCAAATACATAGCTATTTTACTGATATTTTTCAGTTAATTATTTTTAGTTTAATACCATGTGGTCAGAGGACAAATTTTATGTGATTTCAGACCTCTTAAATTTATTCAGATTTGTTTTATGGCACAGAAAATGGTCTATCTTGGTGAACGCTCTGTGTCTACTACTGAAAACGATGTGTATTTTGCTGGTGACGGATGGAGCATTCTGTATACGTCAATTAGATCAGGTTGGTTGATAGTGATGTTCAGGTCTCTTGTGTGTTTTGTATCAGTATATATCTACCTTACTGATTTTGTTTTTATTTGTTCTGTCAATTAGTGAGAGGATTATTGTATCACCCTGAACAAAGAAATATACTTATTACTTAGAAATATATCCTTCCAGTATTTTAAAACATCTCTCTATATATTTTTTTAATTTAATTTATCTATCTTTAGAGGGGAAGGAGAGAAGGAGAGAAACATCAATGTATGGTTGCCTTTCGTGCACCCCCTGCTGGGAACTGGCCTGCAGGGAACCGGCCTGCAACCCAGGCATGTGCCCTGACTGGGAATTGAACCAAGATCCTCTGGTTCACAGGCCTGTGCTCAATCCAATGAGCTACAGCAGCCAGGGCTAAACAATAATATAATTTTTAATATGAGGTTATATCATAATACTTTTTTTGTAACCTTTATTTTCTCTTAATATCTCATGAGTATTTTATATGATAATCATGTTCATGTTGATCTATTAGTATATTCGCTTTTTAAAAGACTGTATATTTCAACTTATAGTGTATAATCCCAATTTTTTCTTTTTTCCTGTTTATAGCAGTGCAATGTACAGTATTTCCCTAGAATACATTGATAGAAATTCAGCTGTTATCAAAGAGCATGCAAAATTCTAAGGAATATAGTCAAAATGCCTGCCTTAAATAAGTTTGTCCTGATGGGTAGCATACTAACATTAGGTGTCTACTATTTACTTTGTTAGGAGGTATAGATAGGATTTGTATTATAACTTCACTTTTTTGGTCCTTTCTTCATTTTACCTAATACCTATAAGCTTATTTTCTCTATATCTTTTGATTTAATCAAATATAATTTTTACATTTACTACAGTTTATTTGGTGAGTCAGAAATAGGGACTTTTACACAGCCTCTTTGGAAAGAAGTGGAGTAGCAAGTATTTTGTTGTGACTGCACAGTGAAAATGTCAGCTTCTAGTGTGTATTTTGTGACTTAGTACAGAGAGCTTTGTATTTTCTTTTGGGTCAGTCCATGGGTTTTGGCGAAGCCACATATTTGAGCTCTAAGGATGTAGAACAGTGCTGGTGGTAAAATGTAGTATGTAGTAAAAATTGGGAGGGGTAGGTTTTTATTCTGGATAAGAATAAATGTTTATGACATAATAGAAAAAAATATATATATATATTGGCCTCTGCTCCTAGTTCCTGGCACAGAGCTCCTAAAAACCCTCGTAATTTCCTAAGTGATAAGAGCACTGTATCTCTTGTTCTAATATTTGTTTTTCGACCCCATTCCTGACACAGGGCTCCTAAAAACTTTGTAAGTTCCTAAATGATAAGAGAACTAAGAGCATCTTCTGTTCTAATGAAGTGACTGGGTGGGCTCCTGGGTGGGGCCTAGTCACCAGAAGGACCAAGCAATGATTAGAAGACTAGAATTTTGAGCCCCACCCCCCATCCTCCAGAGACAGGACCCAGGCTGGAAATGTAGTCATGGAACACGCCTGCGTGAGGAAGCCTCACACAGTAAAGAAGACGTACAGAAGTGGGGGAAACGGGTGTTCTTAACAATGTTCTGTTTATATTAGTAGATCTAGTTTCTACATGGACCTCTCTTGGTTCTGTCACTTCTGAGTCATGTAGTTTTTAGAAATATTTTAGTTTGTCCATTCTACCCTGTCCCCCCATAAAGGATGACGATGCTTTGAAATATCCATGAACTCCTCCAGTGGTTTTGAAATAACCCGTTTATTTTCTCCTCCTTTAATATGAATCATAGCATTTTAATGTCTGTGACTTCTTTGGTTGTCATTTGAGACATCTTAATGCCTGACATTTGAATTTTGATGTTAAAGACTTTATATCTTCAACAGGTGTTTCCTGGCATTTCTTACAGTTCTTGTAGTCACTTTGGTGCTGTCATTGTACAGAAAAGGAAAGCTCTGTGAAGGGTAACCATGTGAGCTGACCTTTGAGGGACTGTTAGTATTTTGTGCCTGAGGATTAAGATTTCAGTTTTCTTGAAGGGCTCTTGAATTATCAACTGGAGGATTTAGGCATTTAAATGTAGAAAGTTATACACACCACTGTGTATTTCTTCCACGGAGGCCCTTCTGCTTTTAGGATTCCCTCTACCACAGCCATCGGGCAGTTTCCTAATGTGTAATCTTTCTCTACCAAATTCTACTAAGGTATCAGATTATACCATGGTTTTGGCAATTCTGAGTTTCTGAAAATAAGTGAGTCACTACCACTGATTTTTTTCTGACTAGTGGAGTGTTAATGACTCAAAAACACAAATCCTTCTCCCCTCCCATTGCCTGTGACAGGCCTCCATATGTTCCGATTCACTTAGTCAGTGTATTTGGCTTATTGCATCCAAAAGCATACAAGGTAAATTTAGATTTATGGCTTTGAGAAGAAAGTATTCTTAGAAACATTTTTTATTTTTGGGTTCTGTGTATGAGCATTACGGCCCAATTAAGTCACCTGTCCCTGAACTGATAAATACTACTGTGAACTATCATAACTGATCTTTCTCTCTGATTCTTTATTTGGAAAGATTTGGTTTGATGATTGTTTAAAGTTGGACAGTCTTACATAGGATTAAACAAGTAAGTTTTTGATACATATGCTAGGATAACTTCAATTAAGTATCCACTATGGAGACCCCGCTTGCCTCCAGGAATCGAGCACTTAACTGTAAAGGAAGGGTAAACATACTTTTAGTTGAGCATTTGTAGTAGAGCTGGGTCTTTGTTTTTATCTTTTTCTTTTGCTCTTCTTCTTCTTCTTTCTTCTTTTTTTTCCAAGTAGAACAAAGACTGTGGACTTTCTCCGATTAAAAAAAGCATGTAGTAGGAAAAAATGTTATTTTAAAAATCTGTCTCTGGGTTTCTAGTTCCAGGCAGGATGGCATAAGCACATTCCTCCCTACTGAATGCAGCTATAAAACCTGGACAGAATGATTGGAGCAGATTTTTGAGGATGCTGGAAAGTAAATAATGGCAGGTAGATTGGGAAAGAAGACCAGAATTCCAAGTACCACTGAACTGGCATTGAGTTGACCATTTCTCCTGCTGGCCCTCTTGCTATTTGGCCCCAGAGGCAGGCACAGCTATGGAAGTACAGTTTGTTGGCTGCAGAGCTGAAAAGAAGCCCCAGGAAACCTTGAAGTGTTGGGGGGATCTCAGAGGAGGGAGAGCTCAGGAAAGCAGCTCCATATGGTTATCTATGAACTGTGGGCTCACCTCTGAGTTGTGACTCTGTGGATGTTTTCCTACTTAGCATACAGATGATTCTGAGATGTGAAGTAACAAATAGACCACTACCCAGGTTCCAGATTGGGCACCATATGGTGCACTCAGGGCACACATCCAAATAGCACTGAGCAGGCTTTGAAAACTAAAACAAAATTGTTAACGTTCACAAGAAGATTTCAGTAAGACTCAGAGTCTTATAATATAATAGTCAAACATTTTCATGGTACAATCCAGAAGTTACTCAGCATATAAAGATCCAGGAAAGTCTCAACTAGCCTGGGAAGAGATGACAGGTGCCATTCATTGCTGGAGTGACACAGATGTTGGGGTCATCTGATGAAGAGCTGAAAGCAGCAGTGAGACTAGAGTGGACTAGAGTGAGAGTTCAGCGGGTAACAGCAACCAGCTGCGGGTGAGTGTAAGGACTTGGAATCCACAGCACCGCGGGACACAGAACTAGATTTCCCATGCTAATCTCTTTTGTCAAACCAACTACTGACATTTAATTTATTTTGTTAGAGTTTTATTAGTGAGAAATTTAGTACTCAATAATGATCACTAATTTCCAGCCAACTGCTCATATTGTTAACTGTGAACTATTGGGTATATGTTCTCATCTGAATCAGTGGGGGAAAGAGTCAATTTCCTGTTATCCATTCCTAGGCTATTCAATTCATAGTTGCTGTCATCAATTTAAAATCTGCTTAGTCCATTTTCAGCGGGGAAGATGATGGCCTAGTGGGTATAATGGCCACTAAAGTCAGAAAGACCTGAGCCCAGTCCTCGCTCCACCTCTCAGTATTTGTGAATCTCGGCTAGGTTATATGCTTATTCTGAGCTGGGGTTTATAGAACCCTTGCCTCACAGGGTGGTTGCAAGAACTAAGTAAGTATTGGCATTACCCATCTATCCTCTAGGCCCATATCATCCCTATCATAACTTGGAAATACATGAAAAATTATTATGGCCTCACAAGCCAAGTAGAAATAATCCTAATAAAGTGCTAATAATGTAAGTCCAGTCGAACTGCTGAAGGCTCTCTCCGCAGCTTTCCACATTTGCCACTCTTCTGCTCTATTTCCTTGGCTCAGTCAGAGTTGGTAACATTGCTAAAGACTTCTAAAGACTTTAAAGTGTTGCTTTGAGAGGACCAGAGAGAAAATGTACTTTTATCCTCAAAAAATACCAGATATTTCTCATGTGCTTATTTTAATGTGTGGGTTGAGGTTCTGTCATAATTTATAGAATATAGTATAGAGTCTTGATATAATGAATC